ACGTCAAGGAGCTTACCGTCGGTTTCCTTCTAGGAGTTTTATGGCTTCAGATATTACATTCAAGTACTTACTTTGTTTGGACTTGATTTTGGTGCAGGGGTTTGATAGTGGTCCAGTTTCATTCATGCATGTGACTGTCCAGTTTTCCTAACCCCATTTATTGAAGAGACTGTCTTTTCCCATTGCACATAGTTGGCCCCTTTGTCCTAAATTGATCATATATGTGTGGGTTATTTCTAGGCTCCTTATCCTTTTCCATTGATCTGTATATATGTTTTTATGCCAACACCACACACTGTTTTGATTATAGCTTTGTAATATAGTTTGCAATCAGGATGTGTGATACCTCCAGTTTTGTTATTCTTTCTCAAGATTGATTTAGCTTTTTGATATTTTTTTGTAGTTCCATACAAATTTTAGGATTGTGAAAAACGTTTCAATATCTATTTCTGTGAAAAATGTCATTGAACATTTGATAGGGATTGCAAATGAATTTGTAGATTGCTTTGGATAGTATGGGCATTTTAACAGTATTCCAATTCATGAGTATAATATCTTTCCATTTACTTATGTCTTCTGGGTTTTTTTGTGAATATCTTATAGTTTTCTTATAGTTCCAGTGTACAGGTCTTTTAAAATTGATTATAGTTGGGCATCTGGGTGGCTCAGTTGGTGAAGTGTCCTACTTCAACTCAGGTCATGATATCATGATTTGTGAGTTCGAGCCCCACATTGGGCTCTGTGCTGACAGTTCACAGCCTGGAGCCTGTTTCCAGTGTCTCCCCCACTTGCACACACACACACTCTCTCTCTCTCTCTCTTTCTCTCAAAAATAAACATTAAAAAAAAATAAAATTGATTATAGTGATGGCCGTTCAACTGTAATCATATTAAAAATCACCAAATGGTACATTTTAAAAGAGAGAATTGTATAGTATATAAATAATATGAATAAAAAGCTGTTATGTTAAAAAAACAAACAACTCTGGATTTGCTAAATGGGAGTAATTAGTGACCTCAATGGAAGGGCTCCCAGTAGTGGCTGGATTTGAAGCCAGACTGAAGAGGGTCAAAGAATAAATGAGATGAGGAAGTAAGCAACAAACATCACCTGCCCTTTCATGATGTTATGACAAAGGAGCTAGGGTTGTGCTAGAAAGGAAGAGACTTAAAGGGACCATGATTTTAAAGACAGAGAGAGACAGGGCGCCTGGGTAGTTCAGTGGGTTGAGTGTTCGACTTTTTATTTTGGTTTGAGTCATGATCTCACAGTTCGTGAATTCAAACCCCACATCAAGCTCTGCACTGAGGGTGATGAGACTGCTTGGGATTCTCTCTGCCCCTCTCCCATTCACACTCTTTCTCTCAAAATAAATAAACTTTAAATTTTTGAAAATTAATTTATTTATTTGAGAAAAACAGAGTGAGTGGGGGAGGGTCATATAGCAGGAGAGACAGAATCCCAAACAGGCCCTGCATTGTAAGTGTGCAGCCCAATGCGGGGCTCAAACTCACGAACCACAAGATCATGACATGAGCTGAGACCAAGAGTCAGGTGGTTAACTGACTGACTCACCCAGGCACCCCTAAAATAAACAAACTTTAAGAGAAAGAGAGAAAAAAATTCTATACAGAAAGAAATTGAAGCTATCAGATCAGAGCAAGTGAGAGGCAGTGGCCGTGACCATTATAAAGTGCTGGAGCCCATAGAAACTTGAATTTCAAACACTGGAAAAGGGTCCACTTTATTTAAATACAAAAAAAAAAAAATTCTTCCTAAATCTGTCTAGGTTTGGCTTTTCCTTCCCTAGGATAATATGGTTGCTGTCTCCAGAAGTTTCTGTCATTTACGTTTCACCAGCAAACTACTCCTTACTAGTCAGGATGCAAGGAGGGGGAAGGATCACAGTGCAGGAAATATTATAGTCCCTAAGGATTATAATTTAACTTTTATTAATCCCTGTTCTTTCATCTCAAGAATTTGGCTTTAATATCAAGGACATAAAATCACAGCATCTCTCAAAAATGTTGCTTCTAGTCAGCCAAACATAGGACTAATGCCATGTATATGAAAAGATGTACAACTGTTTTCACATTGCTAAATAAAACTTTCCCCCTAATATCTGAGCCTAGGTAACTACTTTGGAACTCTGGAACACATCCATGGACCATTCCAATTTATATGTTCCCTAGAACTTAAAACTATCCAGTAATGGCCTTTAACAAAATTCAATTTCTGGATTCTTTTCCAATGTTGAGTCCTACACAGAAGTTTGGAAAGCTTGTTGTTTTTCTGAATGCTTAAACTCAATCCCAGTTGAAAGCTCTTGATAGAAATCCCTCATGTTAATAAAAGAGTTAGTGGTGGAAACCACATTAAAGATGTAGTGATATGCTATCTTTATTAATTTTCTCATCTCGAGGCATAAAGTATGTTGGGTGCTCCGATGCTGGGACATGCTATTCGGAAATGTAACAGAACAATGAGTAGGTTAGGATGTGACATATTTGGGAAGGAACTTCCAACCTCAGCAATTATTGTGCAGGCAATGGTCTTGCCAGATCCTATCTTCATCAGTGGGAAGCTGAAGTTAACTTTGGTCAGACAATTTGTAAATGGACTGAACACCTTTTTAGCCAGGGTAGAAGACAACTGTTAGCCTTCCTTCTTATAGAGATGTTGGCACAGGTGCCTAGGTGGCTCAGTCGGTTAAGTGTCCGACTTTGGCTCAGGTCATGATCTTGTGCCTAGTGAGTTCAAGCCCCCGCATCGAGCTCTGTACTGGACAGCTCAGAGGCTAGAGCCTGCTTCAGATTCTGTGTCTCCCTCTCTCTGCCCCTATCCTGCTCACTCATGCTCTCTCTCCCTCTCTCTCTCTCAAAAATAAATAAACATTAAAAATCATGTTGGCACAGAAGCCAGTTATGCAGTCCAGAAGTAATTTTTGTTGTGAAGATATATGTAGCTCTTGACGCCCAGTGTTCTCTTATGCCATCATTCTGCCTGGAGCCATCCTGACTCATTCTTTGCATTGGTGTTCACATCGAATTAACATAAATTCAAGACAAAAATATCTTCATATTACCTTAGGAATACTGACTCATTTATTTTTTGCTGTTAATATTAGCTTATTACCCAATTTTACTAATGCATATGTCATTCATTTTAAACAGTAGTAGCTTTAGGGGCACCTGGGTGGCTTAGTTGGTTGAGCATCTGACTCTTGATCTTGGCTCAGGTCATGACCTCATGGTTTGTGAGTTCGAGCCCCGTGTTGGGCTCTGTGCTGATGGTGTGGAGCCTGGTTGGGATTCTGTCTCTCCCTCTCCTACCCCTCCCTCACTCACACTTGCACGCATGCTATCTCTCTTAAAATAAATAAACTTAAAAAGCAGTAGTAGCTTTATTTATAGAAGAAACACTAGGTGATTTCATATAAGGGGTAAGAGCACATCCTCAAGGGCCACGCTGCCTGCATTTGAATCCCAGCTCTGCCGCTTATTAGCTTTATAACCCTGAGCATGTTAACTTCTCTGTGCTTCATTTTTCTGATAAGTAAAATGAGAGTAACGGCACCTTCTAGGACTACAGCGGGAAGGAAAGGATTAATCCACATCAAGTACTTAGAATAGGGCTGGGTGCATACAACATCCACGGTAAATGCAAGCCTTTGCGATTACTTTTATTTTCGATTAACTAAGAAAATGACTCACGTTATAAGATTTCAGCCTAGATATTGAATACAGTATTAAGACATGTGATCGTGCTTGAGGAAATTCTCATGAGCTAAGAAACAAGCGCTAGCATATATCCTGGGGAGCCAAGAAGAGTAAAAGCACAAGAGTGAAATCTTGGGTTCTAGTCATGGCCATGCCACCAGCCCACTGGGCTTTGCTTCCTTCATCTGGGCCGCCATGATTCATCTACGTCTTCTCTAAAACTCCTCCCAGCCTCTCATACTCCATAATGCCTCCAATTCACATCTTTTTGTTCTGTCAGCTAAGCAATCCTACTCCTACAAATCTGAACAGAAACAAATAGGTATCTGTAAGTTAGTTTTCACGGAATTAAGACCTTTTTAAAAAATCACATGGATGGGTCCCAAAGTCCAAACTACGAATTTGGGTGGCTTTGTTCCTTTGACACATTTCCTTGTGTGAACACGTTAATGAGAATTCCACTAAATGTAGGAGAGACAAGTTAAGAGCCTTTGCAGGATTTTGCAATACGTGGTCCAGTGATCTGGCCTAACCCTCTCGGGGCTGACCGCCCATGGGACTCCGGGCCTGTGACTCCATTTCTAACCCTGATACTCTTCTATTGAAAGTGTGATATCCCATAAATAGCTTCTGAGGAAAATACATAATTGGTGGTACATCATTTCAAGTAAAATTAAAATAATGACTTGATTTCTAAGATTACTGGACTTCAGAAAAAACTTGTTTTTTCTGAGATAACTAAAATAAAAAATCATGGAAAATGACAGAATGATGGTGTTTTACACACTGATTTATTTGAAAGCATAATACATAAAATGTATAGCGTCTTACAAAGCATTTGATAAAGAGTTTTAAATACAATTTTAAGCTCTAAGTAAACTCTCTTAACTGGAATATATATACACATTTTTAGCCATAAAAGTGGAATTTTTATGGCAGGTTTCGGACCTCTAAAGCCACATGCTAGCTAATGGCCAGGTCAGGGACATTAAAAATGTGCATTAATAAAAATTTGAGGAAATTCGTGAAAATGTTTCGGAAACATTATAAACAAACACGTACCATACAATGTGGGAGAAGTTTTCACGATCTACTTACAAATAGCACATCCTGTCTTAGAAAGTTGTTATCATAAAGTGTTCATTACGCATTCTTGTGCAAACCCCCTTATGCCATCTTACTAATATCAAGCATGGCGTGTATATCCTATACATACAAGCACACTACTTTTTCCCTTGTGCAATGCCCCATCGTAAGAATATACTTGGTCTCAGGGACAATCAGAGCATAGCAAAATGCTGCTTTAACTGTTTAATTAAATGTTGGGTATCCACATGATCTGGAAATGCTGCTTCAGATTTCTGAGCAGCAACATAGCTTCTCTGGAGATCTCCAATCTGTAAGAAATACCAGAATAAGACCAGAAAAAAATGAGTAAGAAAGTCGAAAAAAGATGTACTATCTGTACACTGTAGAAAATCAAAGGGGTCTTAAGGGTAAATCGCTCGATTATGCTCTTTGATTCTAGAATCCTTTCACCTAGATTACAATTCAGTCTTGTAACATGGGAGAAATATAAAATAACCAATCATATAAATTCTGCTCCATTACAGCTGTCTAGTTATGAATTCATAAGCCTGTGTTTTCATTTCCTATCACAGACAGTGTTATAAAAATAAAATAACATTTGCATACTACAACACCCAGCTCTATATAGTTTCAGAATGTCTTAGGACAATGATTTGTAATGTGCCACAAAGACAAATTTTGGCTAGGGCATTATCTTCTTTTTTTTAAGTTTATTTATTTTCAGAGAGAGAGAGAGAGACCGTGTGAGCAGGGGAGGGGCAGAGCAAGAAGGAGAGAGAATCCTAAGCAGGCCCCCACACCATCAGCGCAGAGCCTGACCAGGGGCTGCAGGAACTCACAAACTGTGACATCACGACCTGAGCTGAAATCAAGAGTTGGATGCTCACCTGACTGAGCTACCCAGGCGCCCCTCGGGCAGAATCTTTTAGACAGAAAATTCAAGCAAAAACTGTTATATATAAGATACAATAATGGGCACTAGGGTGGCTCAGTCAGTTAAGTGTGAGACTCTTGATTCCACTTAGCTCGTGATCTCAACAGTTCCTGGGTCGGAGCTCCGCCCTGGTCTCTGCACTGATGGCACGGAGCCTGCTTGGGATTCTCTCTCTCCTTCTCTCCCTGCCCCTCACCCATGTGCACCTGCATTCTCTCTCTCTCTCTCTCTCTCTCTCTCTCTCTCTCAAAATAAATAAGCCTTAAAAAAAGATACAATAACATGCTCAGGGAGGTTTTAAAGGGTGCCAGTGATGTGGGGGTTTTAGAAGTTTTTAAGTAATCAGTTGTCTCTGATTTTCAATACACTTTTGTGTTAAAGTCCAGTCCCAAAGAAAAGCACACACAGTATCTGGATCCATCCGAATAGACCTAGATGCATGCATGCGTTCATAAAAAAGTGAGAATTTTTTAGTGTGTGCACACACAAACCTAGATAATTCAAATCTGGCAGGCTTTTTTTTTTTTTGAAACATATAACGCATATTAAAAACATGAGTTTCTTTTTTTAAAAAATCATAGCATTTCTTTTTAACATACCATTTTCTCTTACAGAAAGTATAGCCTTCTGTGTAAAGAAATCTCTCATTTGAGTTATAGATTATTAAAGTGTGATATGGGAAAGGAAGGTATCAACCCTTTGTGGTTTAACTAAGTGGCAGCACAGTGCAGTGGAAAACACATGGGCATCGTTGGGGTCTGGATACAAATTCTGAACCTGCCATGGCCATGTGACTCCAGGGGAGTCTTTTAAGCTCAAGCAGCCCTGGGTTCCGTTAGAATGTAAGCTGCATGAAGTAGACGTTTTGTTTTATTCACTAACATCCTGTGCCTACAACAGTGCCTGATACATAGTAGAAGTTCAGTAAATGAACCAACAGTTGTATGAAAACACGAGTCAGGAAGGTGAGGGAAATGTACGCGGCAGGGTTGTTGGGAGAACTCGAGATGGTGTATAGGAGCACCTGGAACAGGGGCTAGCACTTACGAGCACTCAAAAATGACGACTTCTATGGGGCGCCTGGGTGGCTCAGTCGGTTAAGCATCTGACTCTGGATCTCGGCTCAGGTCTTGATCTCACGGTTCGTAAGTTCAAGCACAGAGCATGCTCAGGATTCTCTCTTTCCCTCTCTCTCTCTCTGCCCCTCCCTCCCTCTCAAAATAAATAAACTTAAAAAAATAACGTTTAAGAAAATGACAACTTATTTCCAAGCAGAAATGCAAGTTAGGATAGCTTGATGTTCGTGCTTAAAAAATGACATTTTTATAATGTCTTCTGGTCTATAAAGAGTCTTTACACAGCAAATATTTTTAGCCATTTCCTTACCCTTGAAACTCACCTTTCTTCCATGTTAAAAAGAAAGATTTCCAAGTAAAACTTATCAGATACTTTTTATCTGTTTTTCCTCTTGTTATTGGAAACGGCGCTCCTTTTAGCTCTTGGTTATTAACTGACTTGTAACACAGTATTAACAGTTGTACTTTCCCCACATTGTTCACCCATATCCCTAATTTTATAGCAATAATGACAGACAGGATTTCTTTGCAATAAAAGCCAATTACTAAATCCTTCCTCAACCAGGCGTTACTTAATGAGTATTTTTTCATGACTAAATATCATATTTTAAAAATAAAATAATTCTGTAATCTAGAACAGATCATCTATAATGCAATCTACAATATTAAGTTTAGTCCATATCCAGTGATAAATTTCTTTACAGTGTATCAAACTATCCCTTCAAGTGAAAGACATGTGTATATAATGTTTAAAAAAAATCGCTTCTTTCAAAACGTTAGAATTTCCTTATCTGTATTTTAAAAACCAAGAAAAAGAAACAGATCAGATGAGGAATTGATAAAGAAAGAAAATACCTTATCAGAGATCGTTGCAAAATTAAAATGTGGCTCGTACATATGCGGTGCTAAGGATGAGGCAGTTTGTAACAGTGCTCTTGCCTGTATTTAAAAAAAGAAAAAAAGGAAAGAAAAGAAAACCAAGGATATATGAACATCTATCAGCACTATATTTGTAATTATGGGTTTTTTTGTTTTTGGTAAAAGAGTTTTGTTTGGTTTTGTTTTTGGTAAAAGAGTCTTTTATACAAGACAGGACCTTAATAAACATGATCCTGTGATAAATACAGATGACACGCCTCATGAAACACAACTTACCGAAATACAATACTTATATCTTGCCAAAATTATATTAATAATAAAATTGCTTCAAAATATGAAGAAAATTAAGAGTAGTTATAAAGTCAAGAATCATTGTTCTTGTAAAGTTTATATTTTAATATGACAAACAAATCAAAATACAATCTTCTCAATGCAAAAAAAAGGCTTATTCTAGTTTTATTGCTGTTGATTGATTTCTTAGGCTTCTAATGACTTGTTCTCTGATGCTGCAAAAAACAATTAAAAAAAAAATAGTAAATTTCTAAGCCCCAAGTTCTGTGCTGGAGAATGGTGATGAGCATTTAATACACTGTTGACCTCACAATAACAAGTGAGTGCAACTGAAAATGACAAGCTCTCTGTCATCTCATGTACTCAAGAAGCAAAATTCGCATCATTTTTCATCCCCTACAGGCTCAAATGATCATGCATTGCAGGGACCACTGATAGACAAGAGATGCTCACACATTCATTGTTAGGACCACAGACTCCCCCTTCCACACTGCTGAATATCCCTCCAACGTGTAACTAAACCCAAAACCTCCATCCATGACCTGTGGACAAATTGTGCATCTTTTTTTTTTTAATGGAAAGTAACATATGGGATGGTAGATATTGATTTGTTTGTTTTATGATTAGCTATTTGTCTTTCAATTGATGTATAATTTTTAATAATAAAATAGGGGTTAGCAGCATGAAATCTTTCACCAAAACATTTCAAATTGGTTGAATACTAGAGAAACTGTAATAAGTAGGAAACAAAGATCACTGACATGGGGACAGAGAAAAATCACAAAAGCACTTGCTTCATATGGAGATAGGTCAAGTTCCATGGCAGAATAAGTTCCCATTTGGAGTACAGTTGACCCTGGAACAACACAGGTTTGAACTGCATGGGTCCACTTGCATGTGGATTTTTCCAATACATACAGGACAGTACTATTAATGTGTGTTCTCTCCCTTATGATTTTCTGAATAACATTTTCTTTTCTCTAGCTTACTCTACTGTAGACTACATGTAACATACAAAATATATGTACATATAACACACAAGATAACATATAGTACATATAACATACAAGACAATGTCTTGATGGACTGCGTACGTTCTTGGTAAGGCTTCTAGTCAACAGTGGGTTCTTAGTTAAGTTTTGGGGGAAGGTCAAAAGTAAAACTTGAATTTTCAACTACAAGAAGGGGTCAGCACCCCTAATCCTGTGTTGTTCAAGAGTCATCTGTAGTTAGTTTTTGTTTATAAAATACAAATCTGTCTTATTTGGGGGAACTGATGACATAAAGGTAATGTCCAAGGATGTTCATTTCCTTGTTTTGTTACAAGTTTATCGCTGTGCTTAGGAGACCAGGTTAGAGGTTAACATTCCTGCCATGGTGTTCGCTATGTCACTTACCTCCTGGAGTCCCTGTTTCTTCATCTCTAAAGTTCGGAATGCAATACTTATCTATCCTCGATTGTCACTAATACTGTATAAGTGTATTTAGCCTTTTAAACTTCTTTTTTTTTTTTTTAACGTTTATTTATTTTTGAGACAGAGACAGACAGAGCATGAATGGGGGAGGGACAGAGAGAGAGGGAGACACAGAATCGGAAGCAGGCTCCAGGCTCTGAGCCATCAGCCCAGAGCCTGACGCGGGGCTCGAACTCACGGACCGCGAGATCGTGACCTGAGCTGAAGTCGGACACTTAACCGACTGAGCCACCCAGGCGCCCCTTAAACTTCTTTTTTATGATAAAGTGATTTTTTAAGCATCTGCCCCGTGCTCAATACTATGCTACCAAGCCAAGTGCTTTACGTGCATAATCGGCGAATCCTCCCCAAACACCTGCAGGTTCTGTTATTAACGCCATTTTATATACTGTTCATTCATTTCACAAATACTGGCCCAGCACCTACCACCTGCCAGACACTGTTTTTGATGCTGAACATCTGGCAGCTGGAAGAGAAACAAGGTCCCTATTTTCATGTGGCTGCTATGCCACATTACATATACATATGAACATATTTGATAAAATAAGTACTGTGAAGGAAAAAATAGGAGATGTGACAGTGGCGGAGGGCTCCTTTAAATCGATGTTTGAAATGACCTTTGTAGGGAGGTGGCAATTAAGCTAAGACTCAAATGACAAAAAGAAGAAAAAGTCGCCGCAGGATCTGAAAGAAGAACATTCCAAAGGCCGTAAAGTAAGAACAGGCACAGCGTATGTGCAGAGCAGACTTCTGGATGTGTCCAGAAGTCTGAGAGTTGGCAGGAAGGGAGAAGTAACAAAACGTGTGGTCTGACAGAGAGCCAGAGGCCAGATGATGCGGGCCCTGTAGGCCAAGGTTTGAATCCATATTTCATTCCAAGCAAAAAGGAAAGCATTTGGAGGATGCTGAGCAAAGTAGTAGAAAATCATTGTTTTATTTGATTTTTTTTTTTTAAGTAGGCTTCATGCCCAGTGCAGAGCCCCACACGGGGCTTGAGCTCACAACCCTGAGATCAAGACCTGAGCTGACATCAAAAGTCGGATGCTTAACTGACTGAGCCACCCAGGTGCCCCAAATCTTTCTTGTTTAAAAACAAAAATCCCTTCAGCCGTCGTGAGGAGGATGTGTTATAGGGTACAATTACTTGCTGATGCAAGCAGAGACCAAAAGAGCAGCTAGGAGACTCCTGTAGTCGAGTTCAGGCAGGAGAGGAGTACAGTTTGGAGAAGGGTGGCAGTGGTGGAGAAAAGTGGCCACATCTGGGATGTGACCTGGAGAAAGAACTGACAGGGTTTGCCAGACATGATGGGGTGAGGTGGCAGGAACTGAGCGCTTTCAAGGTTGGCTCTTAGGATTTTGGTTTGAGCACCCAGCTGGTGGATGGAGGACTGCGAATTGTGTCACAGTTCACTAAGACAGAGAAGGCCTGGGGCGATGCAGGTTTGTCCTGACAAAACCAAAGGTTAAGAAAAAACCAGAAAGGTTAAGTAACTTGTCCAAGGTCACATCACTAATGTGACAGAGCTGGGATTCAAATCCAGGCCAGTGAGCCTCTAGAGCTCATTTTTATAAACTATAGCATGTAAAGATAGCTACCCCTGACGACGTTTCTGTGGAGAAACCGGATTAGCCACTGAGCCAGTGTAGTTCACTGACCTGCTCCACGTGGCCCTTCCGCATCTCCAGCACGGCCAGGTTGTTGTAGGCCTCAGCGTGGTTATTGTTGTTGACCAGAGCAAGCCTGAAGCACTGATGGGCCAAATTCGTATCTCCGATGCCCTTGAAAAGAAAAGCATACCCGTTGGGAGGAGCACTGGGTGTTGTATGGAAACCAATTTGACAATAAATTTCATATAAAAAAAAAAAGGAAGAAAAAAAAGCTTGTATTCGCACCCACGGATCCACAGGCTTCCTCCCTTCTTTCCTCACGTGAGTCTTTGCTGCTACCAAGCAACAAGTACCGATCATAATCAAGTGTGAATTGTAGGTAAGAGGATTTCACTTGAGAAAATAAAATGAGTTCTGGTGACCCTTAGAAATCGCTACATTGCTACACAAGCCCATAACCAAACCTGGATTGATGGTATCTGAAAATGTCTTCAAACTAATTTATGGCTACCTTTTCTACACCGGAAATAATATGAGAGAGAAAAAACCTACCACAGCCACATGTCCCAAGTTGTACCAGACATCAGCTGCCTCTTCTTCGTTTTCAGCCAGAGCAAGGGCACGTTCAAATGAGGTCAGAGTCATATCATACTGCTGGGCATAGAAGCAGCAGAGTCCCAGATTGTTAAAAAGCTGGCAGTTATAGACACCCATCTGCAGGAGCCGCCTTTTTGAAAAAGAGCATATATTGGTGTCAGACCAACTTGATAAATATTAAGACCTATTTTTTTTTACAAAGTTAGAAATGAATGTTTTATAATTTTTAACATGCCCAAGGAATAGAAATAGAAAGCACTATAGTAAATGAAAAAACATTCCGCAAATACAAAAGTGTGTCTTTTTTAATGGTACTAGTCACGGGAAATATGTCCAGAGGACAAAGTCTGAAGCAACATACATGAGTTTTTTCCTCCAAAAGCTCTGTTAAAGAACCAAAATACAAAAGAGTGACCTGAAGGAAAACCCAAAGCATTTTGCTTCATAAAGTTTTGGTGACAATTAGTAAACCCCTAATACCTCTAATCTAATTTAAGAGCTGTGTTTAGGATTTACCCCCAAGTTTTCAGCTGAATTGAATCTTGGTTTTGGTTATCTGTACTTTGTCATTTAGCTGTGTCTAGGGACCTTCTGATGAGCTTCCATCGAGGAAGACAAGACCATCAGTGAATCCCTACATTATTCACTTAGCTTTCATGCTAGGGCTCAAAAAACCCATTTGCTTCTATGCATCATTAATCCCAAAGGACAATGGACAATAGAGTTCAAATAAACCAAGGAAAATCCACCCCAGATGCCCTGAGGAAAATCCATGACCCATTTGGGGGATGGAGGTGTAGAGTCAGCTGCATATGCCTAAGGCAGCATTCATTTTATATTTTATGCTTCTAACATATATTTGGAAAGAACTCTCGTCAGCTGCCAGTTATCTCCTGGTATATTACCTAGGGGTGGAAGAAAAAATCAAAATTTAAGAATTAATCTCAGAAACCATCTGTAGGATGAAATAAGGATGTTCTCAAAAGAGAACCAGAGATAAGAACATATTTAGACTTTGAAAAATCATTTGGACAAGAGTTGGCAACACTTCACAGAAGAGGGGAACCTGTTTCAGGTCCTCATCAGAGCTCAGAAGCTGGCATCCACTGCTCTTTGCAAATCTTGTCACTATTTCAGCTTCGGGGCCTTTATATTGTATGTGGTGGGATTAATGGAAGCAGTGGGTGGCTGATTCATACAATGCTATGGTGTTAAAAACTCAATTATCCAGGTATGTTTCTGCAAGATGCCAATATCTGAGCATGTTCAAATTATTAGATGTCCCTTTAATGCTCATCAAACATCTGGGTGCTTGAACTTTTAGTCTCCTATAGATGTGGTCTATGCATTACCTGTCTACATTTTCATTCCATTATAGTTTCACCAGTATTTCACAGGAAAGGAGTTCTACAAAAAGACTGTAAAGCACACCTGTAAAACCGGAGAGCTATTTCTGGTTGATCAGAGTAAAAGTGGTTGCTTCCAATGCATGCAATGGCTTCCACATGAGTATTGTCCTGTTTCAAAACTTCTTTGTAGTATTCAGCTGCTGATGAAATATTGCTCATTTCCTATTCTCCATCAAGAAGAAGAGTGATACTTTATTGCTGAGAAAAAAAAATTTTTTTTTTTCTGGCTGATTTATTTTACTTGATTCAACAAATATTGAGAGCCTATTATGTGCCAGACTCTGTTCTAGGCCCTGAGGACACAATGCAAACAAAAAGATAAAGTTGCTATCCTCAAGGTTACAGTGGGTAGGAAGAGAAGCAAATGAACAAATAGGTAATATAATGTCAGGCAAGTCTAACGGATGTGAATAGAGGCGAAGAGAGAGGGAAGGAAGGATGGAACCAAGAAGCAACATGGTTGTATTTACATTTTTAAAGAATAACTTGGTGGCTACACACAGGAGACACAAAAGGGGAGAAGAGTGGTAGCAGAGAGACCGGGAGTCCCCCTGATAATCATAAATCAATGCATTTAATGTTATTACTGTCTTAGCTCTCAAATCCACCTTCAAGGCCAGTGCAGGCTCCACAGCCCTCATGGAGATATCCCTAAGGCCCTCACTTCACATAACACTTTCCGCCTCTCAATTTATATGACACTCATTGTGGGAACCTCTCACTCATTCTTATCAGATGACAACTCCTATCTTTTGTTAGATTTTAATCATAACATATTTTATTGTGAGAAGCAAGGACCACACAATGCTTTCTTATTACACAGAATTTTTTTTAACCTCTGTGGACCTCAGTATGGTTTTTTATTTCAGGACTTTATTATTTTTAGAGCAGTGTCAGGTTCACAGCACAGCTGAGGGGACGGTACAGAGATTAAATGCATTTTGTTATTCAGTATCAAAAAATGACATCCATTATCACCAATATCATCAATATTTAGCAATATGAAACCAGTTTTGACCTTGTGGACCCTCTGACAGGGTCTTGGGGATCCCTGGGAATCCCTGGGCCACACTTTGAGAAATATTGATATTAAAATATTTGAGGCCTTTCTTCCCACTCCTACTCACTCATTTCCAGAAGGCAAACTCAGCATGCTTGTCTCAGCCCCTTCTGGACCTCTTCGGAAGCCAACCTGCCTGTCACATGCCCCCCTGTTCTTCCCTGCCAGGTGGAGGGGGCTCTCCCAGGGACAGAAGTTCTGCAGGTTGCACAATCATGTCTGGGTGGATAAGGCTGTCTAACTCAGAGACTATCAAGTCCTTTTGGTCACACATCTAAAGCCACATGCTCCAATTCTGCTGTTATCAGTAATAAAGTTAATGGTTTATCTTCCATTTTTCTGAATCTTGTATCTATCACTTGGAATGATGAAGGGGGGTGATATTGATTAGTTCCATAAAACCCCAGTAAAACATTTCTGAGTTGATCCAAACTCATTCTGGATGTATATCTGTTCCCATACTTTATATTTGAAATTCTTATTCAAAGTCCTGCCAGGATTTAGTTCTTTAAGAGAAGAGGTGTTTTCATTCATTGTTTGTAGCTAAAAAAAATAACTAAATTTTTTTTTTCAAAACACAAGGCTGTTGATATATTCATTAGTTGTGAGTCATTCTCTCCTGTATTTTACACTGCTTTTACGTGCAGCTATTCCAAATATCCTTTAATATTTTAGGAATATAAGAACCCATTGAAAAGCATGAATAATAAAGACTTTCATTAGAAGTGTATTTTCTACTTTTTGGTAAAACAAAAGCCTTGTAAGACTTGAAAGAACACATGACACTGAAAGCACCTCACTCCTCACCCCCGCACACACACCAAATCCTTCCTTCCTATAGACTGAATGTTTCTGTCCCCCCTAAATTCATATTCATATTCTCCAAGGTGATAGTATTTGGAATAGAGTCTTTGGGAGGTATTTAGATCATAAGGCTGAAGCCCTTAAAGAAGAGACATCAAAGAGATGATCTCTCTCCCCACCATGTAAGGATGTTTGTCTATAGAAGGAGTCTATAGAAAGAAGGAGTTTGTCTATAGAACAGGAAAAGAGCCCTCCCCAGGAAATGAATTGGCCAGCACCTTGATCTTAGACTTTCCAGCCTCCAGAATTGTGAGAAATAAATTTATGTTCTTTAAGCCACCCAGTTTATGGTATTTTGTTACAACAGCCTGAGCAGATTAAGATGCTATCCTTCCAAAGAAGAATCTCCACACCTAGGCAGCAACCTGACCACTGAATTTAATGGCCCCATGAGACATGGGCCCCATGAACATGACTTTTCTGGTTTCTGGGGTAACAACATCCCACAGTGCAGGGCTTCAGTGTTAGAGCTGCCAAAGTTGGTGTATCAGTCTGCTTGGGCTGCTATGACAAAATACCATAGACTAGGTGGCTTAATCAACAGAAATTTATTTTCCCACAGATTTGGAGGCTATAAGTCCAAGATCAAGATGCCAGTATGGCAGGAATCTAGTGAGGACTCTCTTACTGGCTTATAGAGGGTCACCTTCTCACTGTGTCCTCATATGACAGAGAGGAAGGGAGACAGAACTAGCACCAGCACACTCTGGTGTCTCTTCATTCAAGGGCATTAATCCTACCAGCAGAGCCCCACCCTCACAACCACCTCTAAACCTAATTATCTCAAAAGGCCTCAACTCTGCCATCACACTGGGGGTTAGAGCTTCAACATAGTAATTTGGGAGGGACACAATTCAGTCCAACGCAAAAAGACTCCAGCCTGAATGGATAATTGTTTCAAGACTTTCAGTTCTCTAAAATTAGTCCTATAAAATTATTTGGGAGTGTTTGTACACTTGATTGATGGGCACATAATTAATTTATGTAATCTTGAGGAGTTTTAGACTGAAACTATTTTTTTTGGCAGTCTCATATGTAGTCAAATGTGTTATTGTAAAATGTGTGTTTATGCTAAATAAATGTAAACATTGCAAAAAGTTGTAAAAGTCCCCTCCCCAAATCCAGTCACAGAGGTTCTGTGAATAGTTTCTTGAGTATTTTTCAAGAAATTCTGTTCATATATGTGCACACATATATATATGTGGGAGCAACCAAATATATAAATCAATCACAAACATAAAGAAACTCATTGATAGTAATACCATAATGGTAGGAGACCTCAACACCCCACTCACAGCAATGGAAAGATCATCTAATCAAAATATCAACAAGGAGGGGTGCCTGGGTGGCTCAGTCAGTTGAGCGTCTGACTTCAGCTCAGGTCATGATCTCACAGTCCGTGAGTTCGAGCTCTGCATCGGGCCCTGTGCTGACAGCTCAGAGCCTGGAGCCTGCTTTGGATTGTGTGTCTCCCTCTCTCTCTGCCCCTCCCCCCGCTCATGCTCTCTCTCACTCTCAAAAATGAATAAATATTAAAAAAAATTTTTTTTACATCAACAAGGAAACAATGGTTTTGAATGACACACTGGACCAGATGGACTTAACAGATATATTCAGAACATTTCATCCTAAAGCAGCAGAATATACATTCTTCTCCAGTGCACATGGAACATTCTCCAGAATAGACCATATACTGGGACACAAATCAGCCCTAAGTAAGTACAAAATGATC